CCACACTTGCGTTGTGGGTGAAAGGACCATTGTAGCCTTCAATCGCGTCATCGTGCAGAAGGTACGTGTGCGTTGTAGGGCGGCCGTCAGCATCCACCCCTTGAACAGTCACCTGCTGTGATCCCCCTTCCCCATGGAGCCGTAGGAATGCAGATAGGCGATCACTGAGCCCGCCACCAAAATCGTCGCCGTAGTCGACGTAGCGAGACTCGATGAAGCTGGTGGTGCGGGCAATTTGTGACTGGACGGTGACGAGGTCGAGCTGCACATAATAAGAATCAGGAATATTAGAATCCGATACATGTAAACACACTCTGAAAAGTATGCAGCAATCAACACCATCTCGTCTTAGAATACTGTACGTGTAAACACACTCCGAAAAGGATGCAGCAATCAACACCATCTCACCTCTCGCTGCTGGAACGTCTTGTTCAAGACGTTTAGCTGCTCAAGCATGCCAGCGAGGAAAAAAAGCAAGAACTGGAACATGAAGCTTGTTGCCATCTTGTACATCCTGGCATCACCCAGTTCATGAAGCATGACAATCACACCAGGCAGCACCGCCACCAACCTCAGGACGGCCTCACCGCGAGATAGCCAGCGGACATTAAAGATGCCCTGCAGCTCGAGACTTGTCTGACAGAACAGCTCCTGCAGATCTAGAAAGCGCTGGTGCCAAGGTCCCGAGCGTCCAAGGAACTCTGCCAACCATCGGATGAAGGCATCTATCATCCCAAACTGTGGCAACGAGTCTGCGGCATCCTTCGCAGCCAACGCCTCCTTGAAAGAAACGTACACAAAACAGTCAGCTTCTTTCCAGGCAAAAACAAACACTGGAAGCAAATCAACAAAGACTTGTACCTGTGTGCAATGCAATGGCAAGAAACGAGGTGAGGAATGCGCGTGCAAAGCCTTGCCACAAGCCCATTTCGTACGCCCGTCATCACGGCCGTCCCGTCTGTGCTGATGCCAGTTAGGCGGGAGAGGTCGATGCCGACAGCTCCAAGGTGTGAGAGCAGCAGGCCAAGAAGAGACGCCGCATCCGCTCGGTCTACAGTCAGCAGTGCGAAAAAACTCTGTGACGCCCGCGTTGTTCTTGACGAATGTAGCATAGACGATGAGATGTTTCCCACGGCAGCGATCGGTTGACTCATCGCAGGCTAGTCCCAAGTAGGGACTAGCCAGAATGTGGTCAAGTTGGGTTGTCTGCAACCAAGTTGCGGTTGCTTGTGTGAATTCCCTGAAGGCATATCTGCATAAATTTTGTGGAAAGGACACAATTGTAAAAGTATACTGTACACAGTGGTAACCAACATCAATAAACATTATGATGTTCAGTTAGAATAGACCCGAAACTTACGCGGTATAGTAGCTCCCATATCCCTTGTTCGGAAATCCCTTCACCCCCTTCTCCGCGAGGTACTTCACTAGCCGAACCCACGCTTCAATTGGCTCGTTGCTCTTGCAGTTGAAGAGGAGTGCGATGGCTTGATCCTTCTCTATGTCAGTTGCCGCTGGGTGCTCGTCAATGCGAGGTTGTCGGGTGGCAGCTTGCAGGAGGTCGTTTTGCTACAGCATCTCCAACTTGTGCTTGTTGGTGGCAGCATGCCGCTTGAATGCCTGGTTTTGCACATCAGTAGCACCCTTTCCCTTACGACCACACTTCCCAGTATCTCCGGCATGCTCTGAGCACACAGTACACTTGAAAGCAGGAAACCCCCCGGGTGTTTTGGTTAGAACGAGCCAAGGGTAACGTTCCTGCCAATGCGTCTTGTACTTGTCAAGAGCATCAGAGTACAACTAAAAGACATTGAAGCAAGGTTCAGAGGAAGTAGTATCGGCGGTGGAGTTGGGATTGGCGGCTGATGTTATCACAGGACAAGCAGTGGAGAGGAACGGGAGCTTTTCTTGAAGGTAGTGAGATGCCCGAACTGCCGCGCCTGCACTCGACTCAGGAAGATCTTCCATGCCATGCATGCGACGTCCAGCATCTCCTTCACTGGCTGTGGAATAACTCCCTGCGAAGTGTCAATAACGTTATTAGTAAACAGTGGGTACATGAATAAGAAGTCTCACCATCAGAAAATTCAGGTCGTGCTCGAAGGCCACCAGCAGCAATACTCTCGATTACAACGTTGGCAGGGGTCGGAGTTCCTGCCAGTTGCCAACATAGTTATTAGTAAACAGCTTTTTGTAAAGCCATGGATACAACAGAAGTAAAAACCACGGCTCACCAATAAACACACCAGCAAGTCCTGCTCGACGAACACCAGCAGCCCTGCTCTCGAGTACAGCGGAGGCAGGGGTTGGGATTCCTGCCATATGCCATAAGGTTTATTAGTAAAAAGTTGCGTCTAAAGGATTCAATAGAACCAGAAGCCAAAAACACTACTCACCGGTAGCAAACTCATATCCTGATCGACGGGCACCAGCAGTGCTAGTCTTGGGTACAGCGGGGGCCGAGGTAGGGGTTCCTACCATACGAGGACAAGGTTATTAATTAAGACTTGCTTGTGATTGACTGGATACAATAGAAGCAGAAACAGGACTCACCAGAAACAAAGTCAGGCCCTGCACGGCGAGCTTCAGCCGTGCTAGTGTTGGGTTCAGCTAGAACTCCAGGCGCAGTAGTCTCAGGAACGGCGGTGGCAGGGGTGGGGATCCCTGTCAGGAGACGACACAGCAAACAGCAGACGTTAATTTCCAGCCTTGTTTCCTGATATCAATGCACAAAGCCATGTGAAGCACACTTACCAGACTCAGACTGACGTCCTGCACGGCAAACACCAGCGGCGCTAGTCTCAGCTACAGCAGTGGTCGGAGTCTCCGACCACTGCTGTACACACCCAGCGGCGCTAGTCTTACGTAGAGTCTCCGGCGTGTCATCCGCACACACCCAGACGGGCGCTGGTAATGTGGAGTTCGGTAGAAGGACGGAATCAGAAGGCGCAGTAGGAAAGTTAATCACCTCGGTTGGCGTAGCGGTACTGAACGAGTCAACCGCTGATGGCATGGGTGAGGCAGATGCCAGGTGGGATGCTGAGACATTTGAAAGTCTACTCTGCTTGGAGGAAGGCGGCAGTGATATTAATAGGAACTCTAGCGCGCTTTGGGGAGCTGCGACGGGAAACTTAGTTTGAGAGGGCTCGTCTGGAGTTGGCGCGTCACCATCGACACAGTTTCCCCCAACGACAGCCATGGCAAGAGCAGGCTGGGTGGAAAAGGCTGCTGGTGTTGGGTGAGATGAGAACGCGATACATCAGCCTGAGAGGCTGCACGCTAGGGTGGGGCAAACGTGTCTGGGCGACGTTTTCCCGTGGGCTATTTCAGCCCTTGTCATGATCGACAGCTTCGACTGTGCCAGGCGGGTTGCTCGGTAGGGAGGGAAGAGCGTCGTGGGGGAGGACGAATTGTGTGGCAAGTACGGGCCGTTCGTGGGCACGATGCCAGGTTCAGTGTTGGCATCGTAGCGCGATGCCAGCGCTGTTGCTGTGAGATCGTAAACTACCTCACCCATTGGCTGCAAATACATGATTTGGCTAAAAGCCAATGGGGCTGCATGGCGGCTGCACGAAATTTACAGCGCGGCAGCATTTCACGCCTCATCCAGGTATTGCTATACAATTTGTTGATAGCTCAGTGTCGACAGGGGAAAAAACGCTTTTCCATCAGTCTTGTTCTAAAAAAGTAGGCTTTCTCATCAGGGTTGTACAAAAGAAAAAGGCTTTCTCATCAGGGTCGGTACTGTTGTGGTATATTTCATACTTAGCATTTTTGTAAGTTGTTTATCAACAGATAGTGTCGAATCTTACTGTAGAAGATAAGTCCGTAGGATGACGTCAGCAAATAGCGCTCGTCATAGGACAGTCATTTCAGTCACGCGAACAGTCGCACCTCTTCATTATCATCTAGGGCGCATAGCGCGATAGTTATAAACAGGTACATTAGCGAATAGGTACTTTTCCTAGAGCTATAAATCTTTGTTATGTTCTTTTTATTATTAACCTTGCGATTTCAACTTTGAGAACTTTGAGAATTAACTTCTCTAGAAACATATACTCAGGCTCATTCTCACAAGACTTCCGCTGTCTTACTAGTCTACCATTCCAGCAAAGATCCTAGGCTAACGCTTGAGGTTTTCCAAGTGTTCGTGTTTGCAGATTCAATACTTAGTCTTCTGCAATACCTGTCAAAATATTACATGGTATGAGAGCTATCTGGAATTAAGACTACTGTCAGCAATGACTGGTTCATCGCCAGCACCGTCTGCCGGATCAACTTCCGAAACTACTGGAGTACCGTATTCCCCCGGATAAAACACCCACGGGTGGCACTAAATTTTGATGCAAATTTTACTGGGGGTGTAATAAGTGGCACTTTTTTGTATAACGCCCAGGGGCTATGGAATGACAATTTTATGTTTATGAACTGGAATTCAATTGTGTTGTAGACAGTTCTTTTGTGCCGAATTTTGACGATTCTTGCACGTGATCGCGTATATGGTGAGGTGAGGAGGACCATCGTCATGCCACGTTGCAGGCAAACAATCATAGGTTGCCTGTGTCACAGGTTGTCACGTTCTGTCAAATCGTGGTGGCAAGTGGCAACCTCGACGCCACAAGGTGACAGCGCACCAAATCTAGAAGGAATCTGCTGCAGATTCCTTCACGACCCAACCAGGGCCGACCGACATGGATTCTCCCGCGCTGCAGTGTTGACTGTGAGGAGTGTGTTCCCATGAGCCTCGTACTATATCAGACTTGCAACATTCGCCTGAGTGACGAGAATTCCAAGCATGGTAACAGCTCTACACCACATTGAACCGATTCGCGTCGAGCTTGCACTGCTCAGTGACGCGCGAGTCTGATAAGAGACACTCTGATAAGAGGCAAAATCTAAAGAAATACAGTGAAAATGAACCAGGGGGGTGGTGTATAGGATTCATGCCAAAAACTAGGGTAGTATGAATATCCAGTTTAATAAAGCACCCAGGTCCGCCCAAATCACCCATGGGTGATTAATTCCGGCGGGTGTTTTATCCGGGGGAATACGGTACATGCCTCCACGACCGCCACTGGTCTCTCAGCCTCTGGACCATTTCCACCGGTTTATGCGCATATCGGTATGCAGCAGCAGCAGCAGCAGCAGCAGAATCCGTCTTCAGCCAATATTCCAGGGATGTCATCAACTGCCCCTATAGCACAACACCAACAAACACAGACAACAGCACAACAACAAGCATCCGTTCAACAACAGTCGTGAGTACAGCAACAAGCAACAGCGCAACCACCATTTTCAACGAAGTCAATATCATCAGCGTTCAGTGGAATGAGCCTTGACGGCTCGAGTTACATGCGTGGAGCCTCAGCTCCAAGTACTAGTTCATTCGCTTTCTCACCTTTTGTGCAGCAGCCGCAGTCACAACAACAGCAGCAGCATCCCTTTTATATCTTCGGGCGTCCCCCTGCTCAGCAACAGCATCAGCAGCCACAGCAACAACAACAGCAACAACAACAACAGCAATTTCAGCAACAGCAACAGCAACAGCAGGAACAGCAACAACCTCAACAACCGGGTATTATATTTCAACCGCCAAACTTACTTAACAGTACACAGATCAAGACAACCATACCTTTTAACAGAGTGGATTTTTACTCCTGGATTTTCGAGTTTGAGCTTCTTGCGCAGTCCACTGGGCTATGGCCGTTCTTCACCGGCGAATTTACGTATCCTGCCGTGGGAACACAACTGGAACAGCAGAGTTTCTTACACGCCTCCCTCGGGGCGTATACAGTTCTTGTTCGTAACCTGTCGCCGAAGGAGCAGCTCGGCGTCCGATCGTTTCATTCAAGCTTTACACTAGCTGAAACTGCATGGAACCACTTGAAGGGGGTATACATGTCAAAAGATACAATCACAATGAGTAAGATTCTTTCGCAGTTGACAAGTGTGCAGATGATGATAAACGAGAACGTCATGGATTACGTTAATCGCGTCCGTACACTACGCGATCAACTGGAGAAAAGTGGGGGATACTTCCCTCGTGAGATGTATCTCACGGTCCTCCTTGCTGGCCTTGGACCCGAATGGCGACAGACGCGCACCTTTCTGCGCATGAACCCGAACCTCTCCGAAGCTGAAATTTCGTCGTATCTTCAAGCCGAACAGCAAGATTTGGACCTGCAGTGACAATGCAATCAGAAAAAGGGAATACACTTGAGTTTTTACTCAAATCCAGAATCGCAACATCGTCATCCTCCGAAATATCATTTCTGCCATTTCTGCAAGAAACCAGGACACACTTACCAGAATTGTCGCAGTCGACATCAAAACCGACGCAGCACTTCACAGCCTTATCATCGCTCACAGCAGTTACCGAAGCCACATCAGCCAATGCAGCAGTCGACGACTCAAATGCAGCAGATGCCGAAAACCGCCGCAGAATCCGTCACCGACACAGCATCGTCCTCCGGTCTTTGCATCTGCAACATCAGGGAAAGGGGTATTTGGATGCGTTACCACAATTGATGTTTCAGAAACATATTTTGAGACACGACTTGAAGAAACCACAAGTGCTGAAGGCATTCCCTTACCTCACTTTTATGCTAACCTTGCTCGAATAATTTCAGGTCTGAATACTTGGTATCTCGACAGCTGCTGCGGTTGGCACATGTGCTCCGCTGAAACAAGCTTCATAACCAACCAGCGTCCACTTCGTCGTCCGATACCTGTCACAGTCGCAAACGGACAAACTATTATGGCACGTTCTTTTGGGAGTATAATGCTCAAATCAATCGACACGGGATACTCACTACATGTTACCAATGTTCTTATCGTCGCCGGCCTTGGATTCAATCTTCTTTCCACGGCTCAGCTTCTGGCACACAAAATTCGCACATTGGGCAATTGTGAAATGATGGATCAGGAGCTCTGGCACAGTTCAACGAATACTTACATTGGTCGTGCCGCCACTCAACATGGCGTGTCTGTTCTTCAGTTCGCAGCACAGGGAACTTCTAGAGATTCTGAATGCGTCCTTGCACTTGGTCCCTGGGATCATCCAGAAGAAACAGATTATCAACACGTGGATATTGATTTTCGAGCAACTACTGTACCAACGGCTTTCTCGAACTGCAGCTGCTATACTTACCGCACTGGAAACTTGGGAGTTCAATACAGCCGATGAAGGCGCTAATGCTTGGCGAACGTTTTATATAACCCGTGAAGCTCTTCAAGAGACTCCAGCTCCACTTTGGGGGGAAATTAATGGACTAGCAGCTGATGAACCTGACGTCATTGAAGAAGCCGAAAAGGAAGAAGTCGCCGAGCAGCCATGCCCAACAGTAACTGTCGCCGAAACACCTGCTACGACATCAACAGAAGCAGTATCAGAAGTTGCAATCGCAACTGCAGCAGCACCTTCAAATGCCCATTACCACTTACACGTTTCGTCGAAGGAGAGATTGACAGGTCACCAGCGCTTTCTTCTTTCAATATTTCTTCTTTTTATACTAACGCCGATTTCTACCTGCGATCATCAGTACACAAAGCCACCGAAGATATCTGGCATCAGCGGTCAGGACATCCATCATAATGGATTCTTAATCATTCAATCCGAGCAGCAGTTCTTGATAAAAATAGTCTTCTCTTACCTGACGGCACGGAGATGAAGCCGCAGTCTCGACCGACGGTTTGCACCACGTGTCTGGTTGCCAACCTTACTCATGATCCGTTTCCAAGTCACTTTCCTGGCTCAACACGTTATAAGCTGATGCAAAAAGTTTACAGCGACATACTAAACTTACCTGAAGCAGGACCTAAAGACGAGCAGTACGTGATAACATTCATCGAAGCATCTACACGCTACGTCTGGACATCAAACCTTCCTGCTCGTTATCTCGCTCGCTCCGTCTTCATCGCATGGCTCGCTGTCGCTGAACGAGAGTCTGGCGTGAAACTGCAAGAATTCCAGAGCGATGGTGCAGGGGAGTACACCAGCAACACTTTCACAGAATACCTTCAACACTTGGCATCAAACGGAAGCAGTCCCTGCCGCATGCACACCAACAGACGGGGGTAGCAGTAAGGATGAACAGGACTCTTCAGGAGAAGATGCGTGCTCTGCTGACGCAGGCGGCCCTTCCACCGCGTTTTCGGCCGTATGCGATGGACCACGCCGTGCTGTTACACAATCTTCTTTCTTTAACGTCCCTGCCCGAGTTTTCCTCTCCGCACCTGCAGTGGACACGTACAGTGGGAAGTACCAACTTTTACAATTGTTTGGGTGTGTCGTGCAGTTTCGTCCTCCAACTGTAGCACTCGGGAAGTTTTCGGAACGAGCAAAATGGGGGGAACATCTCGGCATCGAAAAACAGTATCACGCATGGAAAATTTTGGATCTTTGCTCCAACCAAATCATCCCATCACGTGATTGTCTTTTCTATGAAAGACTCACCTTGCCCGTTTTTCATGCCCACCAGGCAGCAGCTGCCAACCTCGCCAGGTTGTTCGAAGGCTTGCGTGCATTTGCATCTGACGAAGCCGAAGCTGATGTACAGGACAAGGCCATTTTTGAAGCTTCCGAAGCTGCCGCAACACACATTCCCGAACCTGTCACTTCGACCGGCATACCTGAATTTATTCCTCTGCTGATGCTGACCAGGATGAAGTTCGCGAAGTCCACCTCGTTACGAACGCGATCGCCAACAGCAGCCGATGCCAGCCGTTTCTGACGAAGCAGTTCGTGTTACACCTGACGAAATTGGGGGGGAGAAGGACCAGAAGAAAATTTTGCAGGTGCAAACGAAGAACGTCCGCGTTTTACAGAAACTGGCTTACTGATACTTGGATTTGCAATAGCAGTACAGTACAACGACAGTAAGATACCTGAACCGAAAACCGTTCGACAAGCTCTTACGAGTCGTCACCAAGAAAAATGGCGCGAAGCCATGGACAAGGAGCTAGCAGCTCTTAAGAATCGTGGCATATGGGATTTAATACCGACTTCAGAAGTAAAAGGGAAGAAGGTACTTACCGAAAAATGGGTCTTCCGCGTCAAGACTAATGCAGATGGGCTGTTTGAGAAATTCAAGATGCGATGGGTCGTCCGGGGGTTCGAGCAGACTTACGGCATCGATTACGAACCAACTTTTGCTCCTGTCGACCGACATACAAGCGTTCGGATTTTACTCTGTGTCGCCGCCTGCCGTAATTTACGACTTCGACAAATCGACGTGTCAAATGCGTTTCTCTACGCGCCCGTCGACGCACTCATCCTGGTAGAGTACCCGCATTCCTATTCTACTAACCCACCGAGCGTATGCCGTCTCCGAAAATCGCTATACGGGATTAAACAGGCACCACGGCTCTGGCAGCAGTACCTCCACTCACAGCTGATCACTGCCGGATTTTGTCAGCTACCGGTATGACCAGGGAATGTATCTTCTGACGACGGCAGCAACTATATTTTACTCGTCGCCTACGTCGACGACATTCTCTACGTCAGCAATACTGATTCAATCGCCGATATCTTCATACTGAAACTACAGAAAACTCTACAGCTTACAGTCTCCGAAACAGTCTCACAGTTCCTTTGTCTGAACATTACCTGTTCACCGACGTCTATTCATCTCACTACTTCTAAGTACGCAGCGACGCTTGCTGCCCGCTTCAATCTCACTCCTACTACAGTTTCTACACCGTACCGCTCACTACTGACTGATCACAAACCGAACACTGCACCGTTAAATTCAACCGGTTTACAAACCTATCAAAGCAGTTAGGCTGTTTACTCTTCGCCGCTGTTACTTGTCGTCCAGATCTGGCCTACGTGGCAGTTCCTACGTCGTCCTGAAGAGTAGCACCACCTTGATCTTCTCCGCGCGCTTCAATATTTCGTCTCGACTCCTGACGTCGGTTTAGTCTACAACCTCATCGGTTGCAAAACACTATATCTGCACGGTTTCGACGACGTCGATCACGCTGCTGACTCTACTAATCGACGGTCGCGCACTGGATTCATCTACCGGCTTGAACCTATCGGACCTATTTCTTGGAATTCAACGAAGCAGGAGTTGATTGCTCTCTCCTTTGCTGAAGCTGAGTTTATTGCTGTCTGCACAGCAACGCGCGAAGGACTCTACCTACAGGATCTATTGGCAGAAACGAAGTTGACGACGACTACCCAGTTTACCCTACAGTGCGACAACCAAAGTGCAATTCGCATTGCACATCAGCCTGGCTTCGTCAACAGGACGAAACATATTTCTCAACGTTACTTTTTCGTCAAGGATGAAGTCGAGACGGGGAGGATGCGATTGGTCTACTATTCGACCAACGAAATGGCTGCCGATTTTCTCACGAAGAAGCTGACGCGACATAAGTTTCAATACTGTAACAAGCTTTGCGGGATCTTCAAGAATGACACTATCGAACTTCCAGAAATGAAGGGGAGTGTTGTGGTATATTTCATACTTAGCATTTCTGTAAGTTGTTTATCAACAGATAGTGTCGAATCTTACTGTAGAAGATAAGTCCGTAGGATGACGTCAGAAAATAGCGCTCGTCATAGGACAGTCGTTTCAGTCACGCGAACAGTCGCACCTCTTCATTATCATCTAGAGCAAACAG